ATATATATATAAATTTGTGAAGTATAAGTTCTACACTATTACAAAAAGACATAGGATCATTTTTTTTCCTAAGTAGTAATGTTTATACTTAGAGATAAACTGAGTGTATCAAGGACCAAACTACAGATTGCTACAGGTTGTCTTTCAACTTATCATTTTGCTAGTGAGAAATACACTATGAGGTTACTTTAACTTGTTGAATTTAAATGGGCAACTTTTAATAATAATTTTTTTTTTTTTTTGATGGAACCAGGGATTGAATTCAGGCCCTTGCGCTTGCCAGGGAAGCTCTTATTCTACTGAGCCATCTCCCCGGCCCCTTAATAATACTTTTGTATTTAAGTATTTTTAGTTGTGATATTTTCAGAGCAATTTAGTTGTCTTTTAGTAAAGAGACTATATAGAAATATAGAATATAACGTTTAACACTGATGTTAAAATTTTAGTTCTTAGTATTAAGGTTTCTAGTTATGCTTTTTAGTATGTAACATTGCTGAAGTGATTTATATTTTTGTTAATTTAGCATTATGAGTAAAATTTATTGCTTGTGTTTTCTTTTTGGATTATATTTTCTACTTATTAGTACATTGTTTTATTCTTAGTGTTGACAGATGTCATTAAAGCCATTGATAAAATTAAAGACGAAAATGTTGATTCTGAAGACCTAAAAACTTGTCTTCAAAACTTGGGAATTTACCTTTCTAAACCTGAACTTGAGAAGGTCAGAGAGCTGACTAAAGCTGACGGTAAGTGACACATTTCCAGGCGTAGCGGAGGGCGCCTCTGGAGGGAGGGCCGGTTTGTGCTTGTTTTTCTCAGAGTAATTACTTTATTGTTTTCATTAGAAAAAGTATATTAAAATTAAACCTGTTAAAATAGCACTCAGAGGTATAACAAACACTCAAAATACCATTATTTACAAATACTATTATTAATAATCTTTTCAGGCATTTTTTCCTAGGCAAAAATACAAGTAAAAGTTTGTGGTCTTGTTATCTGACAAGCAGTGTGCTTTGTTGTTAATACTCAGAGCCCACGATCCGCAATAAAGTTTTGCTAGATTTAGGTCTCTGCCCACACTGCAAGCCGTGACTTTCCTAAAGGGAAAGTGAAAGTAAGCTTGCCACGTAAGCAGGCCATAAACTGACGTAAAGTAAAATGGCTGTTTGAATATTATAGGTGTGTAAACTCAGCAAAATATTCTAAGAGTCCAGTAGCCCATGATAGTATTGGGTCTTCTGCTTGATGTAACAAAAAAAGGGGATACAGATGAATGTCCATTTTGTATGTATAGTCACAGTGGTTAGGATAAAAATATAGTATATAGTTACATTCTCTTAATGGATAGAGGGATTTGTTCTAATGGTGTTTGCAAATAGGATATCATGTCCACATCTTGTACAGCAATTAACTACTAGGAAGAATGTATATAGTGTGTGAATTATTGAAACTGTCCTAACAGTTTGGTTTGAAACTGTCTCATTGCTATTTGTTTCTCAATAAAATTATGGAAAAAGATGTCTATAAGTATATAATTGTTGATGTTATGACATTTTTTCTATTTCCTATTTAAATATTTCCATAATAAGAATTAAAAGAGAAATAAAACATCCAACATAAGTTGCACAAAACATGTGTTAAAAAATAAGACTTTGTTGACATATTAAGGATACTGTAGAAAATGCAAATATCTCCCACTTACAGATTCAGTGACATCAAATGATCATTTGCTTTAGTTCAAGTGCTGACTATGCCCAACCCTGCTGGGCTTCCTGGGTCAGATGGTATCTGCGCGTGTTGAAGGTGATATGGTCATAGACTAGACTGTGAGTTACGTAATTATGTTATTTACCCAAGGCAATCTAATGAAAGCCTGGTTCTAAAATGGATTGATTCTAATATTTCTATAAAAGAGCAGAATTAAGAATAGCTAGAAGCTCTCAAATGTGTGTAGATGTGTGTATGTGGTGTTGGGGAAACTTATCATAACTAAAACTATGAGATTGGCACATAAAAGAGAAAATGACCATAAAACAAGATAAAAGATCTTCCAACTGTATTCATGTACCCACGTGAGGACATATTATGAGATACTATATACATTTAAAAATATTGTACACCATTTAGGTATTAAAAGGATTAGTATCAATTTTCCTGGTGCTTTTCAGTTTTAATTTTTGCCTCTGAATGAAATTGCTAAAAATAAATAAATGAAATTGCTTCTTCCCTTTTATCTACACATTTTTAATGGCTAGCATTATGTTATGTGATTTATATAATTATATATTCCTGAATATATAGGATATATTACTTTATGTAATTCAATATTTATCATAATAATATAGTATTTAAACATGAAGAAAATTTTTTTCTTTTCCCTTTAGAAACGCAAAAAGTAAATTTTAAAGACTTCGTTAATACTATGCTGAGCAACACAGAATCCTTCTCTGAAAAATTATGTAAGAACATTGTGTCTTGTGCTTTTTATAGATCAAGTGGTTTGACAGACTGTAGAAGACATAGATATTTATAAGATACTAAAAAAGCTATCATCTGATGATCATGAAACAAAAACTGTCTCATTTTAGGAACATTGATGCCACTTAGACCTGAGAACTCACATGCAGAGTTTCTGGTTTCAGCTCTATTTCTTAGCACTTCTTTCCATCTGCCAAGTTATCCAATAATATTTATGAGCCATTAATATGTTCCATTAATATGAGCCCTTGATGTGTAGGTTGAGCTGTAAGTGTGCTACTGTGAAAAAGGTAGTCTGTGTCACTGTGAAGCTCACCATAGGGAGGTAAGTGTCTAGAGATGTATCTCTGTGGGATACTGTGAGCATGCACAGAACCCTAGGTTTGATTCCCAGCACCTGGGAAATGGGGAAATGAAAGGTAGTTATACAAGGGCCGGCCAAATAGCTCAGTGGATTAAAGAGCCTGCAAGCAGGCGCAGGGGCTGGGGGTTCAATCCCAGGGCCTGCTGCGTCGGCCCCACCCATGGGGCTTGCTGAGACGGTGATTGAGACTGGGCATGGTGGTGCGCACCTGTAATCCCAGCTCTTGGGAGGCTGTAAATAGTTAGATCACTACGAGTCGACCTAGTAGTGAGACCCTGAACACTCTGTAGACTCTTCCCTAAAATATATAAAAAAGGTAGTTATACACATAATTTTAATGGAGTGAAGTTAGAACTTTAAAAATTATAAATGCCATTGTGTTATTTCATACTTACCTATTGGGTAATAGATTTTAATTAACATTTTATTTTTGTCTTATTAGTAGATTTGGTTACTATTTAAGGTCACACAGTATATACAGATGAAGGAATTATTTACATTGTTCATCACTTTATTTTTCCTGGAAATGAAACTATTTGCCTTCCTTCTTGTGGCTGACAGAATTTCTGAGGAAAATCACAGAATAGCACCGTAACATCTTGGTCGTCAGTGTCTTCTAGCCCTCACCACTTTACAGGAATTATTGACTTATTTTTACAGTTAGGTCATACTCTTATTCCTTACTTAAAATCCTCATTCTGTCAAATTTCCAATTTTGGCCCAATTCCTACATCTTTTGTCAATAATTTTGCTTTTATATTGAAGATAAAAACCTACCTCAATTGTGAGAATAGTAAGGTATTTCCTTCTGTTTGTAGTGGCCTGCATTTGTAATCCCAGCTACTTGGGAGGCTAAGGCAAAAACTGAGGTAAATTTGAGACCAGCCTCAGCAATTTAGGGGAATCCTGTTTAAAATAAAATGAAAAAAACAACAACAATAATAATGTAGCTGGGGATATAGCTCAGTAGTAGAGTGCTGTCCACGAAGTGGAAGGCCCTGGGTTCAGTCCCCAATATCAAGAGGGGGAAAAGCATGTTTCCCAGCATTTTCTCCTAAAGTTTTTTTTCAAAGTTTTATTGATAAACAGATAGCAATGAGACAGTTTCAAATCAAATCGGAAGGACAGTTTCAACAAATAATACAGTGCATATATTCTTCTTAGTGGTTAATTGCTGTACAAGATGCGGACTTGTGATCCTATTTACAAACACCATTAGAACAAATCATTCTATTCATTAAGAGAATGCAACTATATATCTATCCCAACCACTTTGAATACACAGATACAAAATGGACATTCATCGGTATACCCCATTTTTTCTAAGTTCCGTTATTGAATATTATAGGTGTGTAAACTCAGCAAAATATTCTAAAAGAGTCCAGTAGCCCATAATAGCATTGGGTCTTCTGTTTAACTGGCAATGTCAGAATCTCCTAAAGTTTTGAAGTTTTAAAATATGTAATCTTTAATTTTCCTGGAACTTTTTTTAATATACCAGGTGAAATTGAGATCTGATTTTTTTTTCTTGAGGATTTATCAACTGTGTCACTTTTATGCCACTTCCTAGTCTGGAATCTGTGTCCTCTGTGAATTTATTTGAAACGTGGTGTTCACACATGGTGGCCCTGGACTTTTAAATTGTCATGGAAATTCTTTTTCAGAGGCAGCACTCAAGCTTTTCAATTCCTAAGGAGGAGGTGGCCAAGACGTGTTTAATACTTTTTTTTTTTTTCAGATAGACTTTAGGACTTTGGCTTTATATAACATCTGAATTATAACTCTAGACTTTGTACCAGAGAAAAACATTTACTAGTATTATTAGTATTATATTTATTGAATGCTTATGATACACCAGTATCATTTAACTGAACATTTAGCTCCATGAATGCTCATACTAGTTGTTGCTGTTATAGTTGTAGATGAGCAAACCAAAGCACAGAATTTTTTTTTTTTTTTTCCTGTGGAACTGAGGGTTGAACTCAGGCTCTTGCACATGCCAGGCAAGCACTTATTCTACTGAGCCATCTCCCTGGCCCACCCCTTTTAAGTTTATTGATACAGGGTCTCACTACGCAGCTCAGACTCAGAGTGATCCTGCTGTCTCGGCCTCCCCAGGCTCTGATGCAGCCCTGTAGGCATGATGGTGCCCCCTGCAGGCGATTTTGGGGATGGCACGTCGTGCTGTACTGGGGATCCAACCTCGGACCTTGCCCTTGCCCGGCAGACGCTTCTTCCGCCGAGCTATCTCCCCAGTGCGTGGCCCCACTTCCTATTGTTACACAACAGGTATATGGCAGTGTTCAGCTTAGAACTCAGGTGGAACTTGTCCTCAATTTCAACATTATAAGTGTGGTGGGACCAGCTCAGGTATACACACAGTTAACTTTCCCTGTTTTGGGCATTTGACATTTTTCCTTTGTTTTGCTGTGTGGACACATAGCTTGTAGCCACACTTAAACTTGTTTCTGCTCAGTGTGGCCCTAGCTTCACTGCTCCTACTCCCCTCATCTAATCCATTACCAAAATTTTGTTGGTTTGAGAGGGGTCTCACTATGCCGCCCAAACTGGTGTTGAAGTTCCGAGCTCAAGCAACTCTTCTACCTTGTTCTCCTAAGTGCTAGGGCTCTAGGCCTGCACCAAATATTCTTATTGTTATTATTTTTTAAAATGTACTTAGTACAGGGTCTGCAGGGTCACACTACACAGATCAGACTCGTGATTCTCCTGTTTTCAGCCTCCCAAGCACTGGGGTTACACGCATGCCCCACCACGCCTAGTCTCAATCACCACCTCAGCATGCCCTGGGGGTGGGGCCGGCACAGCTGGTTGACACGGCATGCCGGCGATCAAAACCTGGTCCCTGCGTCTGCCTGGGCAGGCACTTTAATCTGCTGAGCTATCTGGCTGGCTCCTTTATTGGTCTTTTGAAATCTGATATAAAATTTGTTTGTGGTGGAGATGAAAACAAATCTGGCCATTGTTAGTCTAGTACATTATCGGTTGTGGGACAGTTTTTTTTTTTTTTTAGTACAGTGATTAAACTCAGGACCTTCTACATGCTGCACAAGTTCTATCAGTGAGCTATACCTTCAGCCCTCTTTATTTCAGTTTGAGACAGAGTCTCCCTACATTACACAGGCTGGCCTCAAACTTGATATTCTCCTGTTTTAGCCTCCCCAGTACAAGTGGGATTACAGTTGTACATCATCATGTCCAGCTCTAGCAACTGTGAATATGTATTTCTTCTTTAAAATCATTTTTGTTTTCTGTAACACTCTAATCCCCTAATTTTCCCCCTACTTTATAAGCCCTTCTTTTATGTTCTTGCTTACTGACTTCTGCTTTTTATAGTTAATTTTCAATTTTCGCACAGTACCAGCCTCTGGTCTCATTTCCATTCTTTACAGCTCTACCAGAGTAAGTGGTTTACTACTTTAAGTGGTACCTGTATCCTTTCTACTTAAATTTACACTAAACCCAATGTGTTCCCCAGAAATCTTGTTCTCTCCCCATCCTTAACACCACTATCTGCGCACTGGACAGGATTCAAGTCTAGGAGTTTATGGCCCAACCCCCTCAGCGTTCTTTCCATTCAATTCTTCATTAAGTACGCTCATTTCATTTTTAAAATAGTTCCTTAATTTGTCCACATCTCATTCTCTTTATCACTGTTACCTTTGTCAAAGTCAGTGTTACTTTTTTGCTCTAAACTATTGCACTACATTCCTGTCGTCTTCCAGAGAGACTGAGTTCTATAAAATAGCAGAGTAATCTTTTTATAATTTTCTAATAAGTTTTTTTTGTCCTATCTGAAGCACTACAGAAGTTGTATATTGAAATTCTAGTAAAAACAAAACTTCTTTCCATTGTTTGTAGTGATTGACAAGGAAGAGGGGACCAGGGGAGAACTTTTGGCCAAGCTGTAGAGCAAAAGCTATTTGAGTCGTTGTTTTGTCAATTGGAAATTTTCGTTAATCTAGACTTTTGTAAATCTGAAGTTAATGGAAAGCTAGTCTTTATACTGTTTATGAGGGTACTACAGTTTTTGAATATTTCAGAATCCTCAAAGTTACTTCAAAGCATTTTTGTTTTAATACTTGAAAATTAGCTGTTCTTTTATATTTCTTATTCTTTTAAATTATAAAATCCTTAAATTTTCACTAAATATGTTTCCCTTGTTAACTCTTAGATGAGCATGTTATAAACCTTGTGTTTTTATTCACCCTTTAGCATTGCCTGCTACTATTGAAAACCTTCACAACATCATCAAAGAGCAGATAGGTGTTTCTGACCTATGGAACACTCTGTCTAGTTTGAATAATAATTTAAAAAAAGATGAGTTCCTAACTGCACTGAAATTAGCAACAATTGGTGGTAGGTATTCCCAATATTAAAATTAAGAGATATGTAATGATGACTTTATCTTGTTTTTTATAATAGCCAGTTTAATAAGTATGGGGTGATAGCTCATCATGGTTTTAATTTCATTTATCAGATAATTAAAGGTATGGAAGAATTTTTCATGTATCTATTTCCGTTTTTAGGTCTTTTGTGAGAATGTCTATTGAAAGTATTTCCCCATTCTAAAAAAAAATGTTTTCTTGCTGTTAAGTATTTTGAATTCTTTGCATATTTTAGGTAGTAGCAGGTTACCCAATTTATGGCACACAAGTATTTCTCCCAGGTCATGGTGCTTCCCTCACTCTATTATGTCTCTGCTCTGAAGAAGCTGTTTGGTGTGGTGCAGTCCCCTTCGCTTTTTTCCTCTTTGGTTGATAATGGTTTTGGAAGCACGTTCAAGATGCCTCTGCCTCGACGGAATGCCGGAGAACTTTTCCTTCATGTTTTCTCCTAGAAATTTTGTAGTTTTGAGTCTTAGTGAGCTGTTAGTGTTCTGACATGATTAAAACACTAACATAAACATTTAGAAGTGTAAAGTTGAGATTGCTTGGCTGTTGTGTAGAAAAGCATTGATATGTAGGTATTGTTACTCTAAAGTGATGGAATGTGCACTGAGTACCTTCATTTTGTGTAGCGTGTTACTGGAAAGCAGTGTGTCACAGTGAGCACAGGGGCAATGAGTAGGAAAGGACAAAAATGTAGTCAGATTTTATATAACACTGATTAGGAAAACTTCAGATTCAGTAGTGGTCTGGAATTACAATAACTATTGCTCTTGAACAGTGCTCCCATTTTCTAGACTAAGAAAACATATCCACTCCCATGCTCTGTGTTGTCTCTTTGCATCCTTATACTTTTGCATTCTTGTGAAAAGTTGTTAGTAATTATTTCTCAGACATAGTCATAGAACCACTGGACACTTACAGTTATCTTCAAACTTATCTGGAATAGATATTTTATGTTAAATAGCTGAATATTTAACCTAAGTCTGAGGTTTATTTCTTAGCTTTGCTGAGGACTTTGTCTTAGTTTTATATTTTAGGAATGCGGATTATATAGTTTCTTTTGATTGATGGAAATTGAAAGCTTCTATGTTTAAAATGTTATTCATTCTATAATATTAACGTTTTGTTTACTCAAAAATATGAAGAGAAAATGTTCTTATGGGTACATCAAATGGTCTAGATGTATAGGAATTGATTTACTGAATCTGGCTTTTACTTAGTGAAGCTGATCTATTAAAGGAAGAACAACTGGGATGGGGGAAAGGAGAAAATAGAAAGAAGAAGTGGGAAAAAATATATATACACAAGATAGCTAAGATAATTGTATTGCAAATTTCTATTGGTGTATCAAAAGGAACAGTTAATGTTTAATTATTTGTTTGATCGATTTTGCATACCTATATCCAGCAATCTGAACTACTTTGAATAAAACAATGTATAATGTAACAACCATTGTTAATTTCCTACCATCTTGTTTTGAAATTCTGTATAATTTTTATTGTTTTTTTATATTTATTCTCTTTAAAATAAAAATATTTTTTTTTTCTCACAGAAGGTGACAAAGTAGAATTTGAAGAATTTGCAAAAGGTGTAAAGAATATGTATGACACCTCCAGGTTAGGTGGTAAGTGCCAGATTATTTGTGACTATTACATTCACTTTTGCAGAATGAACTTCTTTTTGTTTCATTGTGTTTCTTACCATTTCTGACCCTACTAATTTCTGGTTATCCTATTGCAATTGATCTATTGACAGGCAGGCAAAACATGATTTTGATTGCAAGTTGGCAGCTTCTGTGATGCAAGGCAAAAAAGGCTTTTTATAGAAAAGGCATCTATTAAAATTATTTTAAATTTTGTTTTTGTTTGCTAGGCTTCATACAAACTTAGCTACTTCTTTAAAGTGTTTTCAGATAGAACTATTTTGTATATAATTTTTACATACAGAACTAAGGCAGGACTCTATTTAAAATGAATTGGTTTCTATTATTATAGAATTTCTCATAATCTGCTATGTCATTGATAGACTTTCTTCATCTTTTTTAGTATTTGTTTGATAAAATATTTATCATGTGCATTTTGTTGAACAATTTTTATAGTATTGACTTCTAACTCTATTTTTTGTTGGTTTGTTTTTATTTATATAGTTGGTACGGGGTCTCATTATGCAGCTCAGACTCGTAGTAATCCTCCTGTTTCCAGCCTCCCCAGCTCTGGGACTATAGGCATGCACTACCACACCTGGACTCAGTTGCCGGCTCAGTATCCCAGGTGGCAGAGCCGGTGGGGCATGCAGTACCAGGGATCAAACCCCAGTCCTGCAGTTTTTCTAAGCAGGTTCTGACTTCTAACTTTAAAAGTTAAAAAGAAGACTAAACCCAGTGGAAATAGTACTTGGCAGGTTTACTGCACATTTTGTTTGGCAAATATGTATATTTAAAATATAACATCACTGGTAATTTATCTGAAAATGTTAATAAACATTTCCATGGGGGAGAAAACTCATCATACATCAATGTTTAGGGAGAAAAATGCAGAATTATTTTTTTT